AGCTATGCACCATTGGAGGCATGCAAGCCTTGGAGCCTTCTGTTCCCTGCTTCCAAATTCACCTTTGTTCTGTCATGCAGATTTACAATGATTTTGGGTGAGAATTACTCTTTTGACAAAGTGTAGGATGTATGTTGTGGTGCTTCCCTCTTAACAAGACAAGCAGCCTGCCTGAAGCATGGGCTTGTCAAGATTTTAGAAGGAGCTGACAATGACACAGTAAGTGTTATTTCTGTTGAGCGGAGTTACCTCTTCTTTAAATGGTTGCCTTGCACAGGAATTGTCACAGTACAACCTTTTAAGTGTTGCAATTTCTGCTATGCCTCTTGACTGTTTTTACCATGTTCAACAAAGCAAACTTCTTGATCGACACAGAAATAACCTGGAGGGTTTGGTTTTTTTTAATGGTCTTTCTCAGTGCCTCCCATGCCTGTTGAGGTATTCTGAATAGTGAAGGATTTGAGGTGACTGCCACTTATTCTAGAAAAATTAGCATAAGGGGATTCATTGTTTCAAAGATGCTTGATAGTGAAAGGATACATTTTAAAGATGCTGGATAATTAAAGTTTCTTCTTGTTGATCTACCTTAAGATTTTTTCCTACAAAAAATGCAGATGATGTGGATTTTCCTGAGACCACGTAGGTACACTTAACCTCAGTGGCCTTGCCTGTTTTGCACCAGCTGATGGATGAGGGATGCTAATGCCTTAACTGGCTCTGGCTGGAAAAATGACTCAGTAGATGTAGACTGAACTTCTTTTTCTCTGATGCTACTTTTCCCCTTTTTGCTTTGCAAATGAAAAAGCTTTCTAGCTGCCAGCTTTGCAAATTCACCTTGGGATCTGTAAGTCAGGCTCTGTTCTCTCCTGCTTATTTATAATCAATAGTAACTGTGACTCAGCTCTGGTAGTCATGGTGCAGTTGAAGACAGAAAGTGAGGTTGCCATTTTTAGTTTTCTTCCCCTCCCCCCCCTTCTTTCTTTCTTTTTTTTTTTTTTAAACTTTCAAATCATCCTCCTCCACCTTTGTTTGAAAGAATGAAATAGACTTTATTCATACATGCTTGGCTGCTCTTCCTCTCTAGTAACATGGGAGGAAACAGTCTGCTGTTCAAATTATCTCATCCCAGATGGCTGCGCAGCCGGAGTGTGGAGAGACTTAAAAGGTAAACCCAGCAGATGGTGAACTTCTGAAACGCAAAGTAATGCGCCTGCTAAATCAAAAGTTTAAGATATTTGAAATCTGTTTATTTTAAAGCAGTAGACTTTTGCAAACAGGTCATCTGTGAAGTACACTGGCAGTTTTAAGCACCATCCAAATAAACTCAAGCTTTGTACCTGTAGCATGGGCTAGCTAATCTGCCAAAGAACATGAGAAGCAAGTAGCCAGCATTACGAGTTTAGTCCTGACCTCCTAGTAGTATCTAATGGGTAATGTTTCAGAAGACAGATCAGTATGTGGAGATCTCATCTGCATCAGTTTTGGTTGGAATCTGAATGCTAGTGGTGCTTCTGGTACATGTATCCTGACTTGGAGTAGATGTGGGTGCCCAGCTCTTCATGAGGGTGTGAATCCAAAACATGCTCTTAAACTAACTGTTGGAACGCAGCATTTGTTGTGCTCTAGTGCTCTTACACTAACTGCTAGAACGCAGCATTTGTTGTGCTATGACAAATATGGTATTCATGGGGCTTAATTTCAAGGTGCTTGGTGTGCTGACTGTCTGCTATCTTGGTATGCTGGCTGCTATGCTGGTTATCATTCTAGTGGCAGAAAAGGCTACATTTAACTTGTGGTGCTCTTCTGCACTCGCAATGGTGAATGCTTTCCTCATAGAGCCTTGGCAGACAGTTGGCTGAAACCTGTTCCCTATTTTGATATTTCTTGAGGAGAAATGATCCATGTTTGATATAGACCTGTATTTAGTAGAACACACCTCGCTGTATTGATTGGTTGTAATTCTCAACCTAAAAAAGGTAAGTTGTCTTGCATATGTGCTGTGTCATCTTTCCTGTGCAATGACCTCTGGCTCAAAGACTTTTCAGTTTTTAGCCAGTCCACGTAGTTTACAATCTTTTCTGTTAATGCTATTTGTTGTGGTAGATGTGTAACGCATAGCTTTATCATGCTTTTTCTGTTTAAGGTTAAAGTGCATTATCAGGAGTGTTCTTCAGGCCTTAAAAAGACCCAAAAGACCCTGCTAGCTTTATTATGTTGAGTTTATTGACACAAAAAATCCTCTTGTTTTCATTTTGACTTTCAACCAGCAAACCTTTTGTGCTGAGATATGTAGGTCCTCATGATGCATTATGCACTCAGGTTTTAAGCTTACGATTGTTTTTGTTTGAGCCAGAGCATGAGGCAGGAAAGAATAGCGATGGTATTTTGTATAGAATTCTGGAAACTTTAAAAGAGGATGTTTTACACGTTTTATAAATGCCTAAATTTAAGCTGACCTCTTTCCTGCCAATTACCTACTATACTAACATTGTCTTAAATGAAGCATACTATATGAGAATAGGTTTGCGATGCAAAATGAAGTCTTTTAGGTTTAAGTTGACCAACCTGTGTTAACTGCATTGGACTAAAATAGTGAGAGAGGTAGACTAACTTGGGTTAGGAGCTCCAGCTCAAGTTTGAGGGAGCCTGAGGTTGAGTATGTTAGCTGCTCATGTCATCAGTTCTCAACAGCCCAGGAGAAGAAAGTTTTGGATTTCTTTTTCAGTCCCCTGGCTTTTGTCTTTCACAGTTCTTGCAAAGAATTGGCCTATTCGTGTAAATGCACTGCTTCCTTGGGAAACTTGATTTCTGGAAACTTTTATTCCATGTTCTCAGAAATGCCTCAGTTCCTCCTTGCTGTGTTTGCAGTTCAGCACTTCCTACTTACTTCTGTCCTTTGGTCTTAAAACTCTTCCAGTAGTCCTTTTCGGAAACCATTATTTATGCTAGTTGTAGTCAGAAATTTTCTGTCATTCTGTGGGCCAGAACTACCATGGAGTTGCTCAGTGGGATGAGGCCTGTGCATGGCCCAACCACTTCCACACCAGAAGGAAGGGTAAGGCTGGAGCATGGCACACAGGGCACCGCAGAAAACCTGTAAGAGACGATGAAGTAACCTATTTCCAGCAGAGGTTTCTTCCTAGCGACTGCCAAGAAGCTGGCCTGTGTTTGAGTTCTTCTGCTGTTACTAAAATGCATGTTACCCTACCTAGAGCGATATGATTATTTTAATGGTGTGAATGCAGTGCCCCTTAACAATCTTGCATGCACTAGGGCAGGCCGCGCTGCCGAGTTCTGTGGGTCTTGACTGTGTTGCAATTTTTAACCTGGTTACTTGTTAGATTTGCTGGGAAGTGGTCCTAGCTCTTCTTTAGGAGAAAGTATGCGAATTCCCCCTTTTTCTACTGGTATGGCCAAAGCTGCTGATGCTGTTCCCTGATACACTTTTCCCAAGCAGTCCATGTCTCACAAATAACTTGCAATCATATGCCTCATGTTTCCATCACCATTCTCCAAATACTTTATATCGTGCGTAAGAGAGCTTGATTAGAGCAGAACAAACTGTTCTTAAGCAAGAGTAGGCCATTGATTTTTATATAATGGCATTATGTTTTTAGGCTGTATAAAAACTTGGTGGAAAATAACAATGTTTTGTTTGCTTTTTTGACAGCTTCTAATAGCAGTTCAGTGAGACCTCCAGCAATGTATTTAGTATTCAAATTATTCTGTTCACTGTGCGTGGTGTCAACATGTAATTGTGGTGGGGGCAGGCTAATGAAAGAGTAGAGGTAAATCCAGCCCACGCTTCTCAGGGAGAAGGTACTGTAGTGCCTCCAGTTACATACTTGTCAGTGACTTACATTAACATCACTGCAGTCTATTTGCTAAGTGAGAAGGGGTAATGCAGAACCAAAACTGCAGGGCCATTTTAGTAAGCGGACCCCCTATTTTAGCCTTTATATATCCCAAAGAAAGTAGGTCAGGATCCAAGTTCTATTTACTGATTGAAAAATGGGGATTTTAGCAACACAGTGATCCTTAGTACTGGCTTACGGGAAAAAGTGTCATCGTTTCAGCTAGAAGTACTTCTGTTGGCTGTGCTAGTGTATTCCTGTTTCAGCAAGTGCAAACTAGATGCAGTGCTGCCCAGAGCTGAAGTCAATCGCAGCTCCCCAGACTTCCTGGTTTAAAGCACATGAGACGGAGTTCACCAAGAGCGCGTGTTCTTGTACTTGGCCCACTGTGGTTGTTTTGCATATTCACAGCAGGATTTCCCTAATTACAAGAGTGCAGGGAAGAGGTTTGGAGGCTTTCTGTCCCTTTGGGGAGGTTTTGTGTGCACAGAAATGCCCTCAAGAAGATGGGGCAGCTCAATGCTGTGCCATTTGTGAGGTTCATCTGTCTGCAGACCAACCTTCCAACATGACAAAAGAAAGGGAAAGGCACAACGGCTTCTGCAGTTCACCATCCATAAAAGAAATCGTTATGTCAAAGCTCTCAGGTCTGGTAGCACAGATCATTCCACAGTCCCAGCATATGAGGAACAGGTATGTTTTTTCTCATATTCCTGAAGCAGCAGGACAATTTAAAGAGGTCTGTTCTCTCCCTTGCTGTTTCCAGCCTCTCCGTGCTTTTGTGTGGCTATCTCAGAAGTGAACTCGAGCCATTCTGTTACCTAGCTTCTTTCATCTTGCTGTTAACAGTGAAAAGTGACACTGTGCCACCCTGTGTCTGGTAGGAAAAAGTCCCCTCGTCTAAAATACCTTTCGAACAGGGAAGACTAGCAGGAATATAAAGAAAAATACTCAAAGATTGTGACAATAAACTAATTTTAATTTAAGACAACTTAAATCATGAGTCAGTTTGCTGATTCCCCTCCATTTGTGAGCACAGGTTACTGTACTCCTCTGGACTGACTGAGTACTGTGAAAGAACTTGTAGAAATTCTTGAAGTGGGCAGAGGCCTTCTCTGCATCCTTTCACCACTTGCTCCTGCAAAGGCAAAGAGACAAAACCACAAATCACGTGTATTGGCAAAGCCCTTCTGTGCTGATACTGATGCATTCTGTGGCAGGGAAACATGTTAGTTGAGGCAAAGACACAGAGTCAGAGGTTTAAAGCCTTTGCCTAAACTCACGCTAGATCAATAGCCAGCTCAACAGAAAAGATACCTTGGCTATCATGGATGTGCTCTAGGTGTCTTACTCTTAGCTGGCTTGATGGCACAATCAGAGTAAGTCTTGTTTCACAGCTTTGCACGCATGCATGGCAAAACCAAAAGCCCAAGGTCTGTAAGATGGACTTCCCCTGGGATCTTACCTCTCCATGGTAAGACATGCGAACAAACCACTCTCTGGACTGCCGGTGCTGATACAGTTCCAGGGTCACATCTGCAGCATAAGGTGGCCACTTGTGATCAAAGGTGCCCAGTGCCACCAGGAGAGGAACAAGGGTAGTGTCATGAGAAGCATAGAGAATGAGCTTTCTGATAAAAAGGGAAGAAAAAAACCAAACCTAAAACGTTAGCAGTGTTCCTCCATGGATAACCAGTAGCACTCATGCTTTTTCTAGCAGATGAGCACTTACTCTCTTTACCCCACACATTCAACATCTTTCTGAACCAGCTTTTCACACTGACAGCAAGTCAGAATTTATAAAGATTAGAGGAAGAGATCTGCTCTGTACCTGGCCTTTTCAGCTGGAGATGAGGGATCTACTGCTTCTGTAATGTTCTTCTGTAAGGTATAGAAAAGGAGACCAACACACATCTGGAGAACTTCTCTATAAAAGCAGCAGAAATAAATTATTAATCTTTAAACTTTCAAATTAAATAATTTCAAACTTACACCTGGGAACCTGCTTTTCGCTTGCAAATTGATAACATGTACTGAGTGTAGCTAAGAACTATTACATGCAATTCCTGTGGTTACTTTTTTATTTCAGCAGATGCATAGTCACCACAGAGATTCCAATGTGATTGCAGATTGGGAGGGGGGAGGTGTTAACAAGCAGTCTCATGAGGTGTGGCTCACATAAAGGGAAGTCTAGAAACACCTGATGTTCTCTAATGCTGTTTTGTTTCCCTGGTGGTGATTTTTGGATGCACAGTTTTCACCTAGGGAAGATGACTAGCTAAAGGCAAAACAGCGACTGAAGTGGTTGGAATCTTTGGTGGGGAGGGGCAGGATTCAAGGAAGTGGTGGCTATATTTAAAAATTAGGTTTTATCTCTGTATTAGAGGAGATTTTCAGACAACTTCCAGTGTGAAGAAACTTCAATGAATAAATCAGTGGAAATGGAAATGAGTGTGACTGTGGCTCTCCCAGGTGTTGTGGGAGTGGGGGAAATCTGTCTTTCAGTACCCAAGATCTCTAATACAAGTTAAAGAAAAGGCTAAAGGCAACTGCCCTAACAGAAAAGGCAGTCCTATACCACCACCTAAGAGCTGGAGAATATGGCAGCTGTGAATTAATCTGAAAGGAAACTAGCTGCTAGGCTGGCAACGTGGCCACCTTTACAAACAACTGGAGGAGGCAATTAACTGCATGTAGCAGCAGATTCTTTTGCAAGTAGTTACATGTGTGCAAAGCCTGGCATCACCTTTTCCACTAGCACCACCACTTTTCAGCCCAGCTATGCAGGTGCCATTCCTGCAAGGGCAGCCTCATCTGTGCAGCCACAGTGCTCAGTCTGGAAGCATGTCCTATTCTCATCTGCTTTTGCCTTTGATACAGGTTCACTTAACAACTGTGGCAGCTGAGGTGTTTGCTGCCTACCTCCGTAGCTTACTGCTGTTCCTCAGAGGCTAGTCTCTTCATGACTGTCAGCAAAACAGAATGTAAGCTTACATCTTGTCCTCCTCAGTGCAGACTCCTTTATCCTAGCTCACGTTCCTGACTCAAGACACCAGACTTTACACTGAGATGGCTGAAGTACAAACTTCATGAGGGAGCAGTAGCCTCTGTGGGGGGAATGCAGCAGATCAGAAAGGACTTCTGTCTGCCACAGTAAGCTGGTGTAGCTCATCCACCCTGGGTAAGCCTAAGACAACCCCTAAGGTTGGAGGCATGGATAGAGGCAATCACCTTGAACCATACTCCAGAAGGAAAAGCAGCGAGTCAACAGATCGACGCTCAACTGTCTGCTGGAAGTTCTTCAGCACAGGGCAGCTTGGCAAATTGTGCACCTGGAAGGAGAAGATGTAGCACAACAACAGGGTTTGACCCTTTCTGAACCCAGCCTGAAGACACATGGATGACTGTCCACAGAAGACAGCTGTTCCTGTCACAGCATTTGTACAATGGTATTCAGGTGAGGAGTTCGAGGATGGTTTTAAACATACAGACTTGCTCTGTGTACCAAAAGGATAGATGTTTGTTCGTGGGGATATATTTCTGTGTGAAGGGAGTGTAACGCCTTGAGCTATTCAACCAACTGCCAGACCAATTACCATTAGCTCCAGCAAAAAAGAGCTACTAACTGGGGTATAAATATGCTCAGCTTCCTTCCAGTAGCACATGCAGTCTGGCTCACGGGTAGTATGCTGGAACCAGGATTAAGATGACTCTGTTAGGTGCTGACTGCCAAAAAAGGGAAATCACTCTAATGGGGTAAGCAAGGCCCAACTGCTCCCTTAGCTCTACTTCACTACACTTGAAAGAGATATTGGATTTCAACATAAGCACATAAATACTGGAGATGAGTCTTTATCCATCCTAGAGCAAGGCTGTCTCCACATCTTGCTTTTTAAGACCATGCTATTTCTATAAACTTTATGGATTGCATAGAAAGGTACTGGGGTACCCACTGGTATCAGTGGGTGTTGGCACTCTCTGGTTTCCTCCATATGCATGGTAAATGGATGTTTCTTTCTGTGACAGTGCAACAGAACTGCTCAGCTCACCTGCTCAGCAAGAATGTTATCAAGGAGGAGAAAAAAATCCACAGGCTTATCACCATCAATGCCCATCTTCTCCTTAATTGTTTTCAAGTCATCAGAGATACCTGGCTGTTGCAGAGCATTCTTCAATTTATGCCTGTCAGGAAATTAAGAAAGCAAAACAAAAACTTTTCATACACCAGACTTCCTAGTTTTTTTTTATGACCCCAGCCCACTGGAGTTGTCTCACATCAGTGAGGGGTAGAATAGAAGCACTACACGATACTGAGGGATTCCTGACACTGGGAGTCTAAGTTGCAGAACGGACAGACACTGTGTCTAGATGTCAACGATCAGAGCTGACTATCTGTTCTCACAAAGACAAGGGAAAAAATTAAGATGAGATGTGAACACCTCGGAAGTGGTTCCCATAAGCAAGGACTGTGTATCAGTTAACAGATCTGGTCATACTGGAACAGTGCAAGTCTCTGTCTTCAGGGAGTAGCCTTTATCTGCCTGTGAAAGAAGAAAGGGTAGAAGCTTTGAACTGATTGCTGTATGGTGTGGGAAAAGGGAAACACCTAGATACTCACTTGTAGCTAAAATTCACCTCTCACTTTGTTAGAAGCCATTTGCCTCTTCACAGTTTTTAAATTTCATTTTTAAAAGTTTAGCTGAGAATAAACATGCTGGCCATGTGCTTCAAGCACAGTATGTTGCATAGGCTTTGTTTTCTCTGACCCTGATCTGTTGAGGAGGAGGGGGGAAGAGTTTTAAGTTTGCTTTTTAGTTTTTTTAGGAACAGCTCTAGTTTCTGTTTGAAATCAAATGTGCTAGATGTTCTGGCATAGGTAGCCTGTAAGCTGAGGCAATGCTTCTTACTGCAGCTTAAACCACCTTGACGTGGTCACAGTGTGCTCAGTTGGTGGGCTGGCAGGGACTGGAAGAGCTTGCAGTTTACTTGGTTTTGGACAGTTGCTGTTACTAGAGGAGGCTGAATGGACTGCTTCTATGGGCTGTTGCCTCACCACTGCCAAAACCACCTTTTGCCTGAAGAGTCAAGCTATATAATGAGCTTTCGTAAGTGAATTCTGACAACTCTTGAATTTTGGATAAAAACATGCTAATGTATAACCTAACCCAAGTATATAATACATTTGCCTCTCTTGTTGAGTTTCCACCCCATGCCCAACCTGGCATTTAGAGTACTTGACTCTGCAAACATGAGTGTTCTTTCAATGCAGGATGTTCCTTATTTTACTTCATTAGTCTTTGTTAAATGTGTCAAGGCTGAGTTTATTTCAGTTTCTTCAAGGTATAAATGCGACAGGAATGTTGTAATAACCCCCAAACCAGAAGTTGAATATAAAAAGGAGGCCCAGTATGTTTATACTTGAAAGGCTTGTTAAGGGATGTAGATGACATTAATTCTGCCCTGCAGCAATGCTGCACATTAGCTGGTAATGAGTGTTTGCTAGACACAGACTAAATTAAATTGGTCTTTCAAGAAAAAGGTCTTTTTTTTTTTCTTCTGCTGCCACTGCTTGGTATATGACTCCCCTCACTGAGTATTTTATACAACTAGCTAACCATTCCCAAAGAACAGTAAGTGGCAGAGGAAGAAATTGGGAAATGGGAAGAAAATGTGCTGTTTTGAGATTATTACTGCTGAAATGAAACAGCAGTGAAATCATATGGGGAGGTATGGCTGGCAATTACCTGCTCAAGCACTTCAGGCGCTGGCAGTTGTGGTAATTGGGGTAGAGCATTTCAGAGCTTGCTTCATCAGTGACAATGACAACAGATCCTGTGGAACAAGAAGGAAGCTTATGTGATCACTAGTGCATCTGCTGTCTTTAGACTGCTTTAATGACTCCCACGGTCTTTTTGCTCAAGTCTGTCGTTGTCAACTATCAATTCCCCCTGACCTATCACCTGCAAGCCCCTGTGCTTGTTTCTGTGCACACAGTGTTAAATTCCACCAGGATGTCTGCTGCACACCTTGTAAAACTTTTCTAGTTGTGTGTTCATTTTTTCTAGCGTTTGTACGTGCCAGAAGTCAGTTTTTGTGTCATGATATGTGAGGACCTCTCTGGTAAGTCACTTCTACTCTTTGTTCCTGAAACTGAATACAGAGGGAGCGGAGGTGAGATCATCAAGACCCAGAGTGTATTTCTAGAACATACAAACAGTTGTTGCAAATTTGGGAAGGATCTTGGCTGAGCTACTTAGGTTTCTCTGAGAAACATTTTTCACACATGCATCTCATGAATGTTGGACCTGGAACTTTTTGCCCTCTTAATTCTGCAGCGGGTTAATGCTAACCTCCTCAGTAGGTCTGAAATTGCAGCATTCATGGCAACAGATCCAAGCTGAGCACCAGCAGAAAGCTACACAAAGAGAGGGAGCAAGTGGCAAATTGATAAAGAGCATACAGAACCAGGAGAGTATGGGGAAGAGGGCCAGGTGCAAAGAACCAGGGAAGAAGTAACAACCAGGAGTTAGAGAGAGTTGGGATCTGCAAGGTGTGTGCCTCTAGGGAAAATGAGAAAGGAAGGGCACTGGTCAGAAGACTCCCCAACCTTCTTTCTGCTGTTGGTACAGCCCAGCTAGCAGGCACCGTGTGGACTCCAGATTCCGGAAAATATTAGTGGAACGGATGCTGAAAGAGAGAAAGTAATTTGTGAGGCAGCACTTTCTCCTTCATGCTGGATGTGGCTGCAGCTGAGGAAGACTTGCTGGAACTGAGGGTTCTGCTTTCGTTGTGGCTTTGGAAACCTGTGGAGGGATTCATCTTGCCTCACTATAGCTATCTTAAATAGACACCCATATCTGAACTGCCCTTTAACTTCCCTTCAGAGACAGTGGAGTTAATGAATTGGCCCTTCTCTGGTGTAATTTTTATCGCATCCTAAACCAGACCTTCCCAGCATTACTGATGTGAGCAGCAGGGGTGTGCTTCATCTCACTAAATTTTAGCTATTTCATCTACAGCGAGTTAAAACCGTACTCCAGAAATGCCTGTTCCTTTTTACTCATGGCAAAGATACATAATCCTGCTGTCAACAGCTAAGCCTAGGTGAATGAATCTGTCCCTGGCATCCTGCTCAGGACTGCTGGGCAACTGGATGCTTTGTGTCACCAGAGTTCTAGGGCTGGGCTCTGCAGCCTGAACAAAGATGAAGGCCCAGGGGCCAGCCAGTCTGCTACAGGGTGGAGAAGGGTAGCATGGAGCTATGTGTTAGGAGGGAGGAAGCAAGGGAAAGTCCAGGAGGGAGCTGAGACTCACAAGACCTCAGTAGGCTTAAACGTTGGTGAGAGAAAGTTAGCTTCTTCCACATAGCTTCTCCTCAGCCTTTCCCCCAGGGCAAACATCTGCAGCATCCCTACTGTTGTCAGCTGTCCTGCAATTGCACCACCCTAAGTGCAAAGAAAAAGAAGGGTCTCCAGTGGAATAGGGAAGTAAACAAGTCTACAGAGGGAACACGAAACCACCATGAAATACAGCCTCACCTTGAATGTGGTCTTTTTGTATTGCTCGTCATAGGGCGAGGGAGGTTGAGGCCCTCCATTTAGGGCAGTCACCGTGTAATCAAACTTAGTCTGAGCAGGTACATCTAAAAGGGAGGAGTCCCATTCCACCTGTTTCAAAACAAACAAACAATTCTTCAGTGGAAAACGTGGACTTTCAAGAGCACTACACCAATGCTGGGCTGTTACTGTATGCTGCCTTGCCAAAACCACAACACGGAGCGAAGGAGAACTGATCGTTTCATACAGCACCCACAGAAACGGCAGCAGTGCTGCGTCTCGGATCTGCTGCTGTGCCGTGCATCATGCACAGAGGATGTGCGTGAAAAGCAGTACCTGCCTTCCTCCCCTTACAGGGGAAGACTCTAGGAAACCTCAGTTGCGGCTCTTTGTCTCACGCTGAACTGCTTCTTCAGCAAGCCACCAGAACGAGCATCTGCCCGCCCAAGCGGCTGCCTTCTCAGGGCTGGGGGCAGCGACTCGGAGGCAAGGAAGCGCCCGTTGTTCCCGCGGATCAGCTGTACCGGGCGGTGCTGCGGGGAGCGGCTCGGTGCTGGGCCTTAGCGACGACAGCCCCGCGGGGCAGCGGCAACTCGTGTTACCGCCGCCGCGCCGGGCCGCCCATCCCCGGGGCCTCCCTCCCTCTGCCATCACCGTCCCACCAACAGGCCCTGGGACCACGCCGGCGCCGTCCCACTTTTAACTCCCAAATCCCCTTCCTTCCCCAAATTTACTCTCGGTAGGAAGGGGGGGAAAAAAAACCCCAAACGTTTACGGGCTGAGGGGAGCACGGCAGTAGCTGAGCCGCGCCCCGGCC